CTTAATATCTGGAACATAGATATGATTAAGAATATAGTTTTGCTTTTCAAATAGCTAACCAATTTTCAAATATTTTTCAACATTTTTGAATAATTTTCATTTCCCCCTTTGTGACTCTGTTCAATATCTATTGAAATCTCTATTTCTAAGTTGTAGTTGATTTAGTAATAGTATGGCATTTTGATTATTGTGACTTTGAAAAAGATTTTAGTGTATCATACGAATCAAGTTACTGCTTTTGCTCAGAATGCCCTTGCCTACAGTCTTCCATTAATTTAACGAAAGAATTTAACATTTTGTCAAGTTCCGCAGATAGGCATTGTCTCCCGAAAAGATGATTATATGAATCATTATTGACACTCAGTTGGGATCCTGGTAATAAAAAGGGAGGGGGTGGGATGGTGGCATCATGAACAGACTGCGCACAAACAAATAATCCCCGTGGGTAAGTTTTCATCCCGTGCCCCTGGGCACGCAGCTGGCACAGCCTGGAGCCAGGGCCAGAATTGAGACAGTTACTGCCAGAGGCTGCCCTCAGTCACTATACTTTAGTCCTCTCAGGGTTGTCTGATAATGCAGAGTGTAGAGGTTACTTAATAATTAATAATCACATTTCACGTGTTTTTCATCTCTCTTGCACAAAGCGCTTTTATATGCATGATCTCACGTTGTGCCCCTTTCTTTGTGTGGAATGTATAGAAATGCATAATTGAGCATACTGTCCTTACTAGAGAATTTTAGCCAGAGTGCAAAACCACTGGTTTTTACCTTTATGAAGTTTCTCTCATCACAGTGGTTTTTTTAGCTTTATGCTTTCCTTATTATACACGTTACAAATTGTGGCTATATGTCAAAAGATGGTTTGTAAGTTGTTTAACAGGTAATTAAAATTTTATGTTCGGCCATCCTCATTAGTGGAATGATAGTTTATTATGTTCATTATTAGGGAATTTTAGAAAAAAATATTGGGGGGAAAAAAAGGGCAAGACCAACCCACCAAAATATTAACTTTTTTAGATTTCATGGTGAACATTTATTTTTCCCTGGTGGGAAGGAAGAAAGATGTGAGCAAGACTGATAACCACTGGGGGGTGTAAGAGCTATTTTTAATAGCTTCCTTAATGGGAGCCAGGTTTTCTACTCTCTCCACCATTCTGGACTTCAGCAAAGGGGGAAGTTAAAGTCCATGTTAGAGAGGCTCAAAACAAAATGGAGAGGAAGCAAATTAAAGCCCTTCCACCAACCAAAGGAATATGGGAAGGGAAGCAAAACAGGGTGAGGAGATCAACTCCTAGGTCCCTGACACCCCTCCCTCTGCCTTGGGCTTTATCTCAGAGGATAGCATGGGGGAAATAGGAACAGACTTGGGTGTAGTTGGAGGGAGGCTGTAAGGAGAGTCCTGGTCATGTCCAATATGGTTCCTCACCCTTTCAGAGTGTATGACTCAGTGATTTTTAGTACAATCACAAGGTTATGCAACCATCACTACTAATTCTGTGATAGCTAATTCTGTACCTGAAGCTTTTCTTAGCACAGTTGTGGCAGAGTGCGACAGATAATACATCCAAAAACTAGACTGATCTTTCTGTGCATTTAATTAGGTGCCTCCACTGTTCAGTCTTTTTCAATACCTCAAATTCTGTGTGTATCCAAAATGCTGGTTCTTTGGATGAAGACAAGATTTAGGAAGTCTCAGTTACCTGTGATGTATTATGTCAGACTCAGGTTTCCCTAAACGCCAGCATCAGTGGAAGTAGCTGGCATATATATATATATATATATATATATATATATATATATATATATATATATATATATATTTGAATATATACGCAGGTGTCTTTAGCATCTTCATATAAATTATAAGCTAGTGTGATCTGAGAACTTCTTTAATTACCATAGTTCCTTTGATTCATGATCAAAAATCCTGATTCCTGCTTTCTCACCAGTGAGTTGAAGAGATAAGCAAAAGATTAATGCACACATTAGAGTTAGAAAAAAAGGATCTCACTTCCAGAAAATAGGATGATATCTTGCAAATCACTTCATCATTCCTTGGAGGTGATGCCAGGAATCAGAAGTTCCATTAACTTCAATGCCACGCGACGAGTAGAAAGCGACTCATGTGTTTCCTTAGGTAGAGATCAGAAGGGAAGAAAACTACCAGGGCGAGCAGACCCATGGAGGAAGAAGAAGGAAGTATCAGGGTAGCGGGGTGAGGAAACAGGGATGTGGGGAAACCTGGAGGACACAGAGCACGGCAGCTGCCAGCTCCCTAGTGTGCCGCTCTGAGGTCACAAGCTGGGTCAGGTGCTTGCAGGGGATGGTTTCCTCAAAAAAAAAAAAAAAAAAAAAAGCCACACACACACACACACATACGCGCACACACAACCCCCAGTTCACTTTAAAAGGGTAATGACAAGGGTGCCTGGGTAGCTCAGTCAGTGGAGCATTGGACTCTTGGTTTCAGCTCAGGTCATGATCTTGGGGTCCTGAGACTGAGCCCCAAGTCGGGCTCCACACTCAGTGGGGAGTCTGCTTGAGCATTCTCTCTCTCTCCCTCTCTGCCCCTCCCCCTGTTTGCACATGCTCTCTCTCTAAAATAAATAAACAAATCTTTAAAAAAAAAAGGGTAATGGGCTCTCTCCCTAGGAGTCCAAGATGGTGGAGGACTAGGAGACCTTGGTTTCGTCTCGTCCCAGGAATTCAGCTAGATAACTATTAAATCATTCTGAACACCTGTGAACTCAACTGGAGATCTAAGAAAAGAATAGCTACGACTCTACAAATAGAAAAACTAGGACTTTCTGTAAGGTAGGAGGCGCAGAGAAGTGAATCCAAAGTGATACATAGGAAGCTAAACCGGGGCGCCTGGGTGACTCAGTTGGTTAAGCGACTGCCTTCGGCTCAGGTCATGATCCCGGAATCCCGGGATCGAGTCCCGCATCGGGCTCCCTGCTCGGCAGGGAGTCTGCTTCTCCCTCTGACCCTCCCCCCTCTCATGTGCTCTCTCTCATTCTCTCTCTCTCTCTCAAATAAATAAATAAAATCTTAAAAAAAAAAAAAAAAGGAAGCTAAACCGTGGGAGGAGGGAGCCTCCATCAGCTGGCTACCAGAAGGTGATATAATAGCAGAGTGCAAAACCGGAACTTTGTTGGCTCCAGTGGGGGACGTTCCTGCCTGAAAGGTGCTCAGGTGGTGAAGCAGGGTGGAACCCTCGCTGGGACAGTGTGGTCTCAGGACCCTTGGGGTCACAGAAAGACAGGGGGTGCATGAGTGCGGCAGAGCTCCCAGGTATCGGAGCGGGGAAGCCGGCTCTATTACAAAGCTGTCGTCATCAAGACAGTATGGTACTGGCACAAAAACAGACACATAGATCAATGGAACAGAATAAAGAGCCCAGAAATGGACCCTCAACTCTATGGTCAACTAATCTTTGACAAAGCAGGAAAGAATGCCCAGTGGAAAAAAGACAGTCTCTTCAACAAATGGTGTTGGGAAAATTGGACAGCCACATGCAGAAGAATGAAATTGGACCATTTTCTTACACCATACACAAAAATAGACTCATAATGGATGAAAGACCTAAATGTGAGACAGGAGTCCATCAAAATCCTAGAGGAGAACACAGGCAGCAACCTCTTCGACCTCAGCCGCAGCAACTTCTTCCTAGAAACATTGCCAAAGGCAAGAGAAGCAAGGACAAAAATGAACTATTGGGACTTCATCAAGATAAAAAGCTTTTGCATAGCAAAGGAAACAGTCAACAAAATCAAAAGACAACCAACAGAATGGGAGAAGATATTTGCAAATGACATATCAGATAAAGGGCTAGTATCCAAAATCTATAAAGAACTTATCAACACCCAAGAACACCCAAAGAACAAATAATCCAATCAAGAAATGGGCAGAAGACATGAACAGATATTTCTCCAAGGAAGATATACAAATGGCCAACAGACACATCAAAATAATGCTCAACATCACTCGGCATCAGGGAAATACAAATCAAAACCACAATGAGATACCATCCCACACGAGTCAGAATGGCTAAAATTAACAAGTCAGGAAATGACAGAAGTTGGTGAGGATGTGGAGAAAGGGGAAGGAACCCTTTTACACTGTTGGTGGGAATGCAAGCTGGTGCAGCCACTCTGGAAAACAGTATGGAGATTCTTCAAAAAGTTGAAAATAGGGCTACCCTATGACCCAGCAATTACACTACTAGGTATTTATCCAAACTATACAAACATAGTGATTCGAAGGGGCACCTGCACCCCAATGTTTATAGCAGCAATGTCCACAATAGCCAAACTATAGAAAGAGCCCATCAACAGATGAATGGATAAAGAAGATGTAGTATATATATATAAAGGAATATTACTCAGCCATCAAAAAATGAAATCTTGCCATTTGCAATGACGTGGACAGAACTAATTCAATCAGAGAGAGATATTTATTGTATGATCTCACTCATATGTGGAATTTAAGAAACAAAACAGAGGATCATACAGGAAAAATAAAACAAGACAAAACCAGAGAGGGAGACAAACCATAAGAGACTCTTAATCATAGGATACAAACTGAGGGTTGCTGGGGGTGGGGGTGGGGAGATGGGGTAATTGGGTGATGGACATTAAGGAGGGCATGTGATGTAATGAGCACTGGGTATTATATAAGACTGATGGATCACTGACCTCTACATCTGAAACTAATAATGCATTATGTGTTAATTAATTGAATTTAAATAAAAATAAAATAAAATTTACAGCCCAAAATAAGTAAATGTCAGCAGAAAAAAATTTAAAAAGGGGTAATGATAATATAAAGGTGATCAGTACTGTTGTGATTATTTATTTTTTAGAGATTTTATTTATTTATCAGAGAGAGAGTGCACAAGCAGAGGGGAGGGGCAGAGGGAAATCTGACTCCCTGCTGGGCAGGGAGCAGGGTCCCAGGACCCTGGGATCATGACCTGAGCTGAAGGGAGATGCTTACCCGGCTGAGCCACCCAGGCGTCCCCATTGCGATTATTTAAAAACAATTACATTGTTCAGCCATTCAAAGAAAGGCTGAAGGAACCAGATTTGAAAAAGGCAGTAACACTACACTTTGTAGTACAAGTTCATGGCCTTTTTCAGGAGCAGGTTTGTGAAAGTAAGTTCCTAAGATTTGGAAGGAGACCCAAACAGCATCTAAACTATAGATGTTTCTCACTAAGTTAAGATTCAGGAGGTAGGTACCACCAGGGGATGGTGTCGGTGCTCCCAAGGAAATCAGGTGAGGACCAAGTACTTTCAAGAACTCTGGGGGACTTTCCAGTCACACTTGGCTGAAGACATATTGCGCTGACAAAGATGAATCGTCATCTCAAATAGGCAAAAACTAAGAAATTTTAAAGAGACATATGCGATTCTCCCATAAAAATCTTTTATTGGCACACCAGAAATATCCATTTTTCTAGTACAGTAGCTGTATGCATCTACAATGGCAATTCTGTGTAAACTATGTGTTACAAGTCACTAGAAATCTACTTAGCAGGATGAATTTAATAAAGAACAAGAGTAACTCTGAGTCTACAGCGGCCCAGCCATCGAGTCTCATTGGAGAGCAAATCAAATATCAAACTAGTGTTGCCCTGCAACAGTTTTTCTGTAGCCAAGAAACCAAGATGGACATAAACAGGATAGCACCCATTCAATAAATTAGGTACACGTAACTAGAAAAACACTGTAACCGATAGAGATGAGCTGAATAAAGCACAAAAGGAAATAATTAGCTATTTACATATATTACTTTTTGCCAAAACTTTAGTTAGTTAGCTTTCCCATCCTACCACTTCTCTTTTATCTGTTACTCTTGTTTTTTCATGCGGAATTTCTTGGCTCACTGGCAAGTATTTAGACAACGAATCAGAACCTTTTTTTCCATGTTCTACATTTTCTAAAACTTCATGTCAAACTAGAGAATCTGAAGGGTAACTGTGTAAGTCTATCTCTATAGAGAAGTAATAAGAATTATCGTTCTGCTATCAGTCACAGCAATGACATACAATTTCATTTTCTTCCAAACATTATTTGAACTACTCCAGAAAGTTAGGTTGTGAATGGCAGCAGAGTGGATGGATTTGTCATTTGTAACAGGCACAGATATACATGGAGACAAGTGAGTTTATCCTGAGAATGGGGATGCCGTGGACTGCAAATTAAGATCCCCCATTACTGAAAATGAGTTCTCTCTCTGGTCACTATTTTTTTTTTTTTCCACATTCATATTTAAGGCTTAGTGTCATTGCAGCATTAACAAATAAGAATGCTGACATCATTTCTGCCAAAGGAGGGCTCTGTGATGAATGGCAGCAGGTACCATAATTAAAATAGCATAGCTGAAAAGGCATTGAGTTGGTATGTTTCTGGTGCCATGGCCAGAGTTGGTAGATTTTTAGCATCATTCTTGGGGAACTGAGAGATCTTGCCAATGAGCCTCTTTGCCCCTTGTTTATCTACTTCGTAGTACTTATAATAATTTGTAATTGTCTTATTTTTGGTTTGCTCTCCTTTGAGAACGTAAGCTCCAGAAGGGCGGTAAGCACACCTGTTTGTTCACCACTGTGTCTCCAGTGGCTAGAACAGTGCCTGGTCCATAGTAGGTTCTCAGTTAAAAACTTGTGTTAAATGAATGAACCAAATCATAAACCCCCTGGTCTGCCTCTGTCTAGAGACTTTCTAGTTTGATTCAGTGACCCAGCTCTCCTAATGATCCTGCCTGTGGTGAACCTTTGTGTAGCCATTTGGCTATTATTTTTGTGCATCAATGGATAGTAAAACTTCTCGATGCTGCATTCACTCTGCCCACCTCACAAAGATTAGCTATGCAGGGCTAACACTGCACGAGAGGTAACGGCAAGAACCTTCTAGGAGGTAAACTGCAAGCTCTGAATTCAACTACTTCTTCCCCACCTCTCTCTACGACCTCTTTGTCAGAAAGCTTAAGAAAAAGGTTATCAGGAGAAGATTCTCTTGGCAGTAACAGTTCAGTAAGTCACTAATAACATGATCAGAAAAGAAACAAAATATAACTCACCTACATAAAAAAACTTATGTAAAATAAAAGCAAAATCTGGAAGTGGAAACTAAGTGACAGGGTGGGCGGTCTAGGTCCTTTGTTGGTTAGAGTTGCTGGACTGGACGCAGAAGTGAACGCAGGCATCAGAACAGGAGAGAGGCTGGAAAGGAAGGGGCGAAGCAGCGCTGTGGGGTGTGAGCACGTGGGGACCAGCTTTTCTCTCCTCCTCCCCCTCTGCTTCCAGCTCTCTGGCATCCCACCACATGCTGGCTGAGCTCCTGCTCTCGCTCTCTCAGGCGGAGGTAAGGACGGAGGTAAGGACGGGCAGCTGGCGCCTCCACAGCCCATCCTTAGGCTATTGATGCTCTGCTGGAGTAGAAGTCAGGGACCGGGAGCCCGGTGTGAAGCGTGACCTGGGGGATGAGACTGTGAGTCCTGGAGGCACCGTGGGAACCCTCCCTGCATCTGCCCCTCCCCGGGGGCACAGTGGGTGTGCTCCTGATTCAGCAGGGGACCTGTTACCTTTCTTTAACGTCTATTCTAGTAGATGTTAAAGAAGAATTCTTGTAGAATTCTGCCTGTGCTAAGAGCCTGGGCACCGTGGGGGCTTCCCAAATCTTGATAATATGGTTCTTATCCACCTGCCTCTTTTAAGGATCCTGGGAAGGCTGTGTTCCTTCTGACTGAAGACACAGGCATTGATCTGCAGGTGGCAGAGCCTGTTGGTGAGGGCGCAGTGACAATGCCAAATCCATGGATAGAGAACCGGTGAGCGGAGAACCCTTCTCTTACCACGTGTCCACTACTAGTTACTCCGATTAGGATGAGGCTTCCGTTTGGGGAATGAATAGACGATTGCCAAGTATAAGAAACACGGGCAGGGGTACTGTTCCCCGGTTCCTGTGCAGCCTTGCACCTCGGTGGACAGTTGCATGGATGAGGCCGGAAGTGTCTCCTGCTCTACTGTCCTTCCCCTTCTCGTCCCTGTCTCCCCAGCCCCAGAGTCTTTCTCTAAGGATACTCAGAACATCCTGGAAACCACTGAAGACCATCGAGGACAATATTCTTTGGAAGGGGAAACAGCTGAAAATGGGGAAGACTTTGAAGGAGGTTTTTCTAAGACTCACGTCTATGACAATTTATGGGTTCCTTTCTTCCAATGTAGAGGCTGAACTCTGAGAGATTAGATTTCAGCCTCCCAGAAAACCCCATCTAGTCGCAGGAAGAGAGAAGGGCAGAGGTCACTGGGTTGCAATCACTTTTACTGCACATGCTGATAAACAACAATGGTTTTCTTTTTTTTTTTTTTTTTATAGCTCCCAAGACTATGGTTCTGAACAGAAGAAAAAACACCTGCAGGGTTATGATTCCCACGGTCTGCAGCTGTCTGCCGAATGGTGCGCGGCTGATGAGAGCTCCAGCGGAGAAGGGCAGGGAGAGACCAGCCTAGCAGTGCCCCGCAGGGCGCCCCGCGGCTCTGGTCTTCGCCCCAGCCAGGGCCCCTTGGCCCCGCCTTGCTCCCCTGAGGCCCCTCACGCCTTAGAAACTTTGTGCTGGTTGTTCCCTCTGCCTGGAAAGCTCCACACAGCTCACTGCCTCCAGGGCCCAGCTCACCTGGGACGGTAATAAGGCCCACCCACACGGAGCGCCCTGGCTGAGACGACTGCTGCCTTCCCCACCCCGCACCCCCAATCCCCACCCCCACCCCTGCCCTCGGCCTCGACTCTTTTGCACTTACTGCCTTCTAGCATGTATATCATTAACATGGTCATTGTGCTTATTATTGATCCTATCTCCCATAACTCAAATGCGAGCTCTACGAGGGCACGATTTTTATGTTTTGTTTTCACTGATAAACAACAATGCCTATAATAATTATAATTACAGTGCCTGACATATTAAAGGCACTCAGTGGTTATTTGTTGAATGAATGCATGAGAAGAACCTGTTTGCCTTTTGCAGTAAATTGTAAGTAAGTAGCCCGCAGGCGGGGACTGTTCTCTAGCCCCAGGACCTAACGGATCGGAGGAACAGTGCAGAGAAGATGCTCGGGCTTTCTGGTAACCGTGCTAATACTTCCGTCTCATACCTTCACCTCTGGGGCGCTCACGGAGCTCTGCATAAGTCATTCCTTCTGTTTTCAAGCCAGCTGGTTCAAGGGTTTCATTCCTACTAGGGATGAAACTAGGCCTCAGGGCTGATCAAGAGCAAACCGTGAACTGAGTTCCAATCTCCCACTTGCTGTGAGTGAGACTGTGTCCAAGCTTAACGAAGGGGCTGATGCTGATCTGGGATCATCTCAGTTGTCAACGTTGGTCCCTTTCCCCTCTCCTTTCCTCCGGGTCTCAGTCTGGGCCTTACACGGTTGGCTTCCCTCTCTCAGGGGCTAACGTACCCCCCGCGGGCAGCCTTTGAAGCAGAGCGGGCAGAAGCTGCTGTGAGGCGTGGGGGCACGGCGCTTACCTGCACATTCCTGTTCAGGCTCACCGCCGGGAAGAACAGGCCTTCCACGTTCTCGAAGGCTATGGGACCCTGCTGTTCGTCGTTGATAAAAAAGGTCAAGGTTTTCCTGTTCAAGTCGAGGAGGACCCCGATTGTGGCCCCCTTGGTGATCCCTCCCTCGGTTCTGTGGGAAAAGAAAACAACTGGGTTTCACTTGTCTTCATTCTAGAAGCTCCCCTCTTTCTACTCAATGTACAATCCCTTTTGTACTAACTAGTATTTCTCAGCCTGTTTAAAAATATTGTTCCCCACACCCCAGGAGCGTTTTTAAGTAATATTTTTTTTCCCCTAGTCACCCCTCCTCACATATCATTTTATTACCACAGATATACTCGGTATCTGTTTATGTGTTGTGTGTATATCTGTGTTTTGTAAATAAAAAGTAAGATTTTTTTGCTTACCCCCCACACACTAACTTTCACTCCCGGGAGATATCGCACCCTGTTGAGAATATAGTTTCGACCATCCTGCTCTGCTGTCGTTCACAGTGAACTCATTCCCAGAGGGTCTCTACCTCTGAGCCGTGGAAGTAGAAAACAAATCGTTCAAGTCCAAGAAAAAAACCAGTCGGCTTTGAGCTATGAGCTCCGTCCGCAGCTATGTCGTGCACTTGGCACAAATGGTGGTAATTAAACATCAACTCCAAAATGACTTAATTTGAAAGTCAAAATAAAGAAGCACTTATGCTGAATCGAAAGCATATGCATGAAAAATTGGATGTGGGGCCTTATGCTACCGATTTAATAGAAAAAACTCGTTCCCGAAAGATGTTAATTTTGGGCATGCAGAGTTTAAATTGAGAAGGCTCTCTAAAAAATGACAACATTGGAGAGGATTCTCCCCTGCAAAGCGAAACAATTATATCGTGGAAAATGGAGGAGTGATTTTTAAAGAACCTGCAATGAAATGTCATTTTAAAGCAAATTATGTCTTATGCTTCAATTGATGGTTTCACAAAAGCCATTAACATGGACGATCAGATTTGCCGTACCCCCCAACTCTTCGAGGTCTAGCAATATTGAATTTCATCCTCATCTCAGCAGAGCACAGAAACTGGGTAAGTGTTGTTCTTTCCCCCTGGCATGCAGAATACAGACTGTACATAGTCGTTAAAAGACAGGCTTATAAATCGCATCTGGTTAATTCACAACTTCAACAACGACAGCACAGTTTGCACGCAAGCAGACATGTTCAGCTTTAAGAATGTGTTTCTTTGCATAGTGTGACACTCGTGGTTTTATTTGCTCCTTCACTCCAAACTAAAGAAGCTAGAAGGGAAAAGTGAGCGCGGCACATGGGGGAATGGCATTAGGGATCTGGTGACTGAGGGCTCCTGCAAATGTAAATCACCAAAGACGACCGTTTGTCTACACCTAGTAGCATTTGATATCAGGCTGAAACGGTATGCGTGTTCACTTTAAGTGATAATGAACAACACACACCTGGATGGACGTGCATAGAAAACGTCCAAGGGAATGGGAAGGGGAGGTCCTAGGAATCCTACCGACTAGAGAAGGAGCAGTGATAACCTTCCAGAAAAAGCTGAGACCGTGCTGTCCACCAGCCTACCACTGCCAGCCTCACTTTCCTCTTGATCTGACTGGATAGAGCTGTATTTTTTTTTTTTCTCAAAACACCAAAGAGAGTGTATCTTAGAAAAAATCTTTGAGAATAAGGTGGATGAGGATCCCTGCAAGACACCTCTCAACTTAGGCAAACCAAATGATAAAGGAAGTCTAGGGAAAAAAAATATAATTTGGGTTAAATGATAATTGCCTATATTTTGGTGTTAGAGGCAAACCTGAGGAGATTACTATGTTCTCCTTCCCCAGCAAACTGGATGTTCTGAATTTATATGATAATAAGCGTCCTACAAATTCTAAAGCTATCCAAACTGGCATCTGTAAGATCTAGTTCAATGCATGGCTTCTATCGTGGGCAGTGGTATTGATAATAATCCTAACAAGAACAATGGCTTCTGTTTTCAGCTGCCTCTGATGTGAGGCATTTTCACATATCTTATTTAATCTGGAGAACACTCCTGTCCGGAAAAAATATTATTATCCTAATTGGGTGGATTTGAAGACGAAGGTTCAGAAAAACTAAACAGCTCTCCTGGTAAGTTGTAGGTCTGGATTTTATAATCCTCGGATGTTTTCCTGGGACGGATATGCATGGGGAGTCTCAGTTTCTAGCCACGGTGAAGGGCCTAGGAAAGGGCTCACGTTTCTGGCATTATGCAAAAAAAAAAAAAAAAAAAAAAAAAAAATCCCTCAATCCATCAGTTAACCACTGAGAAAGCCTCAGGTAAGAATAGTAGAACTCCTGTGCCACTTACTGAAGCCCACCTGCCTGGCTGCCTCAATGTTGTCTATTTACTAGGACCTGGAACTCAGGCTCTTGTTTTTTACCAGAAGCCAACGTGAAGAAGGCTCGGTCTGGGGGCTGCCGGGTACCTGTTGGTGTGCGAGTTGTTGTGCATGAACCAGCTCCGGTTATTGTCCACATACATTGCCCAAGCTTTGTCGTCCTTCCCTAACATCACATCCTTCATCACGTCGATGCGAGCCACGCCGAAGGCAGGGTCAGGGTGGTTTTCGTAGCGATCCACGGTTAGCTCCCAGTAGTGGACGCCCTTGGAGAAGCCGGTCTTCCCCAGCACCACCCGGTCATCGTAGCTGCTGCAGGTCACAGTCAGGTTGTCGTTGGAGAAGATGATGTCAGCGTGTGCCGAACCGGGGTCGAAAGCAAACCAGGCCACTGGGAACAAGAGAAGGGAGTGGGGTTACCGAGGCGGATCCGAAGAGCCCTGTGTACCGCAACACACCCCTGCACGGGGGAGGAGTGTCGTGTCCCGTTTTCATGCTGCCATGCAGGAAGGAGGTGTCCGGGGCCACGGGGGGCTGTGAGTGAGCAGACAGGGGCCACGTCCTGGGAGGTGGTACTCTCTGCACCCAGAAGCAGACGGAGGACACAAGACCGATTCAGCAGGGGTTACCTGACTCAGACTGCACTCCCAACCAGGTGATCCGGGAGTGAAGTGGCCTCGATTTTGGAAGGTGCAAGTCCCTTCACCCGGTGACTGGGACAACAGTACACCAGAGACATAAAGGGAGAGGGTGCGCTAAGATGCCTGTGTAACCCTGAGGCGGGGAGGCTAGGATCTACAGTCCTAGATGGAGGAGGGATAAAACACACTGAGTGAAACCAGGAAATAGCCCCTCGGCAGGAATGCTGACATCTAGTCGTTTTGAAAACTTCCTTAGAGCTAGTGGAAGCTCAGAGGCTGCAAAGCTATCGGCAACATGACCTAATTTTCATGAGTGACTGTGACTTTGGACGTGAGACAGGTCGCTTCCTTCATACCTTAAAAATAACAGTTTGCATGTTACTCCTAACGCTAACATGGAACATACTTTGCTGGAGCAGTAGGTATTTTGGACGCTAGGTGAAGACAGAATGACATCTTTGCACACATCGTTACAACCCAAGTTCTAAATGCCGCCTACCAATAACACACTCCGGAGAGATGTCACTGCTGATTTATTGAACCTGTGAGCCACCTCACATGCACTTTGGTCTTTGCTATTTGTAACAGAATAAGGTTATTCCATACCTGCCAACAGCTTTTTAATGTCAACTGTTGTCATTCCAAGTGAAAGGCATGGGAGAGAGAAACAGGAAGCAAAATTGACATTGATAAGAAAACACGTTGCTTTTGATAGACTAATACCAAAAAAGGGCTCAATTTCAAACACTACAAACACTACAACCGTTGGTCTGACTTGTACCTTAACCCACGTTAGCTCTCGTAAAGAGTGCTCTGCATTGACGTATAAGAAAACTGGGGGGAAATGTAATCCTCTTTTAGGTATAAAGTTTAAAAATACGCTTTTCTAAGGAATTGGGGCAGTATTATAACGGGATTTTCATGACAATTAGACAATTTTATTGACATACAATAAGCTGCTGCCGTTTATTTGGTGGAGGATACTGAGCATGCCAATCACACAAGTAGAAGATGACAATCACGATATAGGTGTACTTGCCTAACTGAGAGTAAGGTGCAGACTGCGGCTCAAAGCTGCATCCTATAAAGAGATACTACACATCAAAGCTATGAAGCGGCAACCAGGTGGATAAACAGTATTTGTATACACTTAAAAAGCACCAGCTGAAAAGAGTCACCAGAGGCCTGATTCATGAAAAACCAAAGCCCTTTTTATATTAGTTAACTTTGCTGGGTAAAAATGGTTTCTCTTGCTCTTTCAAAGCGAAAAGTGCATTTTTTTTCCATCTAATAAATCCTCCCCCAGTGGATTCTAAACTACACAGCTTAAGTTTTTATCAGCCCCCAAGCTCAATCTTTTCCACTGAAGTTTCCGTATTAAAGAGAAAGCTTACTGTTTAAAAATGGGAAAAATTCGGGGCTGGAGGAAAGCAAAATAAATAAATAAATAAATAAATAAATAAATAAATAAATAAATAAAATAAAAATAAGAAAAATTCATCCAATTGAGAAGGAGAAATCACTGGATCTTGATAATAATTCTGTTCTATATCACTATTCCATGCACTTCTAACTCTGGTGGTAACCAGAAGACCTTTGTCGTGACTTGGGCCCAAGTTAAATGACACGTATATGTGTGACTGAACATAGAATGTATATGCTAATAAAAACATCTGATAATTTTTAATAATGACATGAATTAAATGTAGTGAAACAAATGACTTCATCTCCTTCTTAGATCATTTTTACTACATCAGTTCTCACCTAAGGGAGGGGAGGGGGCTCTCGTGGAGGTAGGATGGTATCAGGGAGATATTAGAATCACCTGTGGAACTTCTCCATCTCTCCTTCCTCAAGATCTGGATCCCATGAGAAGCTGGGTTGGGTGGTCTTAGAATGTTCAAAGGTGTATAAACTATAGTTTCAAGTGGTGTTGGGGACTGATCTGGAAAATGTATTTTTGATGAGCACTGGGGTATCCCCTAGAGGGGATCATTTAATTTTTTTTTTTAACTCTGTAAGGCCTTTATACACTAATTTCTAAAACAATTGAAGGATAATACACTGAATTAAAAGAACTTTAGAATTAATACAGCAACTTACTATAAAAAAAGGACTAATGATTGAATCAAAAAACAAAACCGAAAGGTATGTCCTTACTTTTGTTTATTTTACTCTGGGATGAATTCACATACAAAAGAATCATTTTCTCCTAACTCATGGCTGATTTTTATGTTTAGCTTCTACCGATTATCACTTTATTCACAGGTTAGAGCGTAGTGAGGACTGAATACAAGGAGTTTTAAAGCTGAATCTCATATCCCGCTTTGGAAATGAATTTATAGAATCTGAAGAGGGCTTTTAAAAATTTTAAATGAATCATGCCTTCTGCAAGTCTTTTTCAAAACAAGCGTTCTGAAATCTTTTTACGCTATTGAAAACATACCACCATACATTTAAGAGTCGATGGTACAACTAGAACAATGCTGTTAAATACAGCCGTCACATCTCCCCCGACCCACATTTCATTTTATTCTTGAGACAATATACATTACAAAGACTATAACAGTATTTCAGTACATTGGACACAAGTGAAAAGAGTTCCATAACAAAGCATGTTTGAAAGCCAGTGGTGCACAGAAAAACAATAAGAAACGTAAAAGCACAAAGAAAAATGTCATTTTAAAGAGAGCTTCAAGTCCCTGCATCCTTTTTGCACTGTCATGCTGTGGCCTTCTTCATTCCAGGATGTGGGATGAGCAAAAAGAATAAAATAAAAAACAAAAGAAACCTTTGGAAATGCGAAATGTGCATCACGTGTATCCACGATTACAATATAGTCCTGAAGAGATCAAATAGGTCTGCATCTTAGATGTTTTAGGATTCTGTTGGCCAGACAGAGTCGACTGCACAGTAACGCATGTCTAGCTTCCCTGAAATCAACCTAAAGCCCTGTCACAACCTGCTTGGCTGTGGGAAACTTGGGGGAAGCCAGCCTTAGCCATGACTTGGATCTTTGGCCCTTAGGCCGGTTAAGGGTTTCTAATTTGGCTAGTGATGGTCCCTCCCCGTGGCTGGAAAAAATCCGCCATGAGCGGGACTGTCCAACCAGTGAGCACAGGCTTTTGCAGAAAATACTTTCATATCTGCTCTCTGCTTTGCCTGCTTTGTGGGATGCATTCTGCTGTTGGTGCGTTTTTACTTTCTTTTTTCAATAAAGATCTCTTGAGTCTATGTTTAATCAGACCACTACGGGCTGGATGCACAGATCCAGTCTCCCAGACACAGCTGGTTTCCTGGATACAGCAGGGTTGCAAACCTCCAGACTGAGGCCACAGCCTCCACTCAGCCAGCGCCTATGCCGTGCTGGGCCACTACGTGGGATGACAGAGCGGGTCATCCTTGGCGGTTCCAGCTGGTGCAAAAAGAACAACTTCACTCGTCACTTTCCAATGCCACTGGACATTGACCACAGCTCGATGGTCGGGCCTTACACCACACAGACAAGAACGCCACAAAGCTCCAGCATCCAAATGCTCCTCATACGGGAAGCGGGCCACAGACAGAGAGACTAGCTCATTGCCCCTCTCCATGCACATGAATGGCAAGAACAAAACAGGTATTTTGGAGATGCCATCAAGGCACAGAGAGATCAAGGGGAAAGATCAGACGAGCTCAGCTCACCCGGTGCATTGAGAGACTGCAAAGAAGAATGCAAGCTCAGCTGGTGGGGTGAGGATCGTAAATCAAAGTAGGATCTCCCGGGAAAGCTGGGTTGTAGATTAAGGGTGGAGGAGAAAGGACTCATTCTACGGAGCGGCAATCTTTCCGAAGGCACTGGAAAAGGGAGTGTCTGTTCTTCTGAATCTGTGTCTAGATGTAAGATCAATGCAAACTAGAGATCAGAAATCTGCTACCTGCCCGAGCACGGTTCCCCAAGACCTGCCTTACCAATGCATTTGCACAAAGCCTCATCCATCCCGCAAGTGCCACAAGGCATTTACAAAACCAAAGTGGCTTGGGGGCCAGGAGGGCATTCTTAGCAGGTCAGGACTCAAGACCAGAGGACATCTCAAACATCACAGACAATTGCTCTCATTTCTCCCAATTTTTTAGTGCTACTGAAGGCATTTTGGAAGGTTTCCTTTTCGTTAAATTTTTTAGAGTTGAATTTAGAAACTTTTAGAGGTAGATTTTATCCATTGATGACCAAGAGTGATACTTTACCCCCTTCAGCTACCTTGGAAGTTATTACCTGCACAACAATGGCTTCTTCAAGGGTTTCTATTTAGGAGATGATGATTTTTTTTTAACCAATTCTTTGCTTTTCCATATTTTTCCCTTTCCTTACTTATATGTATTTTTCCATTTCTGAATGGACGAAATGATTTTTCTATCCTAACACAGTCCACACTTGCTCTTTGAATAGGAGAGGAAGACAGGGCTGAACAAGTGATCAGGGAAGGATCCTTACCTTTGTTTCTGAATTAGGATCAGACCCCAGGGATATCACTTGGACAGCTCTGGTTTTCTAATAATAAACGGTCCGTGGGGCCGTGGTGAGGTGCGTGGGTGGCAAAAATGTCTTTATTTTCAGATACTTGGGTTTGGCATGAAGATCACTAAATTACTAAAATCACTCCTTTCTCTTTTGTCAAACAATAGCTGGTTCTAGGCAGCAGGGTGGTCTGGTCAGAGATGGATGTTTTACCAATCAGGACCTTCTTAGAACACACTGTGACAATAATAATTTAAGAAAGAGAGATGGCATGATAGTAATATTCTATGTCCAAAGCCAAGGAATTATCTTTTCATTGAAAAAATAATTTTGTTTTGGTGGCCAGAGGATGCTCCTGGGAATATTTTTCTCGTTTGAGTCTGTCAGCATGCTTCTCCATGTTGAACATATCCTTGTCCTATCAAAATGCTATTGTGGGCATGTTCAAGCCAAAATAACTGGAGTGTGTGCATGTAACATGATCCTATTTGAAAAGCTCAGAACAAGGCCATTGGCTAGTTTTAACTGAATATTGCTGAGAGTCAGCCCCATTTTAATTTCTGCATTTACAATATTAAAGTTAGCTTTTCAGGCTTTACTTTTATCCTTGGGGAATTTTTTTTAAAGAAAATTAGAAAAAGATCTCAGAGAAAAGGAACTGCTACTTAATGGAGTTAAGGTGTGGTATTCCCAATAATAATATATTCAAAGTTTCTTCTACCTAAACTTCATATAATTTGGATGACATGAAATATGTGGTCATTTCTTCGTTCAAAAATGGCAAATCAGAAATGATTCCTATTATAATTGTCTCAAGGGGGAATTAGTCTTTTAGTTTAACGGGAAATTTGAAACACAACACAGCACCACAAACTGGTACGGGCTTCATTTAGGGAGAGAAGGCCATATACATGTCAGAAAAAGATTTTTTATTAACAAGAATTTGCTTGGAAATGTATTTTTCACCAGGTGGTAGCAATCAATTCATTATATTGAAAATACTTGTTGCTTTAAAAATTAAGGGAAAGGACATACATAGTGAAATGAATTCTAGAGTATATTGAACCTTCAAGTCATCATCTGAAAACCAATGAAGAGATGTATACTGAATCCAGACCCTGGGGAGCATATCTGAGCCATCATGGAACATACTCACCTTTCCTATTCTGAGTACCGAGTTGGTGATGGCACCACTCTGTGGGGCGGGGGCTGAGAGTTAGCTGTGGTTATTCATGGGATTAATAACTCAACACTAAAATAGTTACTGTTTTTTTAGTCTTTTATGTGGATCCATTATTGATGACCCAATTTTCCTTGACTCCTCTCACTTTTGAACTATGCCCTCTTTTCAGGCAAGCTTATTTAATACCCACATTATCCAACCATTTCATCTCCATCTTTTTTTTCCCCCACCACCTATGGCCTCCCATCCCCTTCAGCTGGGCTCTTACCCCATTTTCTCTAAGGAGCTCCTAAAAAAAATTTCTTACCTCATCATGAAAACTTTCCAAATGAATTATGAGAGGGAGAGTGTTTTCCACCTGATCCCAGCCAGACTAAATAAGCAGTGCCCCTTTATGCCCTCCCCCATGGGCACACAGTACAAATGTTGGGTCAGTTGCCTGTAAATCATCTATGTTACTTGATATTATCTTAGATTACAGGAGTCTCAGAGGAAGACGCTTGATCACATCTGAGGAGCACTCATCAGGCTTCCCCTTGAAATATCCTGGGTTGAGGAACTCATTGCCTCTGGGCAGTCCCGTCCAATTTACAGTTATTGCTTATATTCATCTGGATATATTCCCTTTGGGAACTCCACTCGTCAACTGTAGCCTTACTATCTGGGGCCAAGATCACTAGTTCTTCAAGTATTTGACAGCAGTCACCAATCCCCTTTATTATCTTCCCTTTTCTGGGCTAAAAAGAATCTATTTCCAGCCCTGTTTCTATGCTATGAAATTCAAATCTTAACTCTCCTTGTCTTGCCCCACTGGACATATTAAAAAACATGAACCAAAGACACTAAGACAAGATTGGGTATAGTATTCCCACCCCCTGGTTTAGTCAAGTCACACAACTCACAATGAACATACACACAACTACCCATGGATATATTCTATGTTATACCCATATAACATATGGATGCAGGAAGGCTACATCCCACTTCCTCACCTCCCCTTGAAAGCACAACTATTGAGATATTGAGATCTGGAGAAGGCTTCTCAGTCATTAACGTTCTCTGAGCCAAGACAAATAGGAACAGGGTTTATCCCCAACCCCCGACCTCCGCCAAATACATGATACAAAAGCTATGTTTCAGATCATAGCTAATATTTGGGATCACTATTATTAATTTTTAATGTATAGATCACTAGAGAAAGACAAGTAGCACCTTAAAAGATTCTGAATGTCCTGTCATGTTTCATGACATGCAGTGATCCTGTCTGCTGAACAGTTTTGCTGAGTAAAAGCAGCTTATTAAGGAAGACAAATGGGAAGAGTAGTAGAATGCCAGCTGAACACTGGTGTGGTCACTCTAGGCACAGCTGTAACTCTGGGGTGGGGACGGTGCTCATAATGGGAATGTGTCAAGGCACACTTTCCAACAACTTGGTCAATGGCTACCATTTTCCTCTTGCCCTTGACTAGACTGCTTTCCCTTTCCACTCGGGACTGGCTGGATTCTGGAGTCGAGGCCTATGCTTAAAAGAAGCCATCAAAAATAATCAAAACAAAGGTCAGCTGGGGATCACACTTATTATTTACTGACTTTTGGGTTCAAGGTGAAAAAAGGATGTTTAGGTGATGTACTCCTGTTTGGCTAACGGTACATACTTCTTTTATTTGTTTGTTAGTTAACATTTATTGAACAACTACCATGTGCCAGACGTTGTATTAAAACTGAGCAGCTAGGAAACAGGAACTTGGAGAGAGAGCTGACCATACGAAAAAGAATAATTTAGAGAAAATCTTCTAGGGGCAGAATTTCTTGACTGATTCCAACATGTACTGAGTACGAAAGATTTCTGTGGTGTGGTAGAATATTTTGGAAATATTCCTCACCAGTCTGTGAGGTGTTATTTTTGGAATTCAAAGAGAAAAAGCAAACCAACAGGGCTTCCTTCTGACAGCGTATGCTAATGCAGCTTTCTTTGTGACTGGTAGAATTCTTGGTCATCTTTTTGTCTGCTCGGGAATGGCTTTATAACTCAGGCAGCCCTTGGGTGCTGGTCCAGCAAGACAGTTGTATTTCAAAGCCCAGTAAGACAAGATTATGTCAGTAAGAACTGCACAAGCAGCATTAAAGATGAGTTTCAGTTCAATTATAAACCAGTTGTAAAATAATTTGCTTCTGTTGGGAAGATTTTACAGAGACGAATGAAGGAGGCTGAGTCTCCTTAAATGACCTAATAAGTGTCCAAAGGCACAATTACGTCCAACGGGTACATAAGTTACAATGAAAGGTGGAATTTTAAGCTCTCTTAAGTGTGGCATTAACTGCAGTTGAGAAGTGAGAAACAAAGCTGTTTTGCAAAAATTCCTTTTAAGAGAAGAAATAGTCTCTTGAACACCCCTGGGACAGCTGCACACTCTGTCACCAAATCCTCCACTCCAATTTAGAATACCATGGCATTATTTATAAGTAAGTACCATCAGAAGAACTAAAAATTCTTGCATTTCAAATAGATACAACAGATTCCAAAGGACTCATCTGTTCCCCAGAGTGTCAACAGCAAAGCATACTCCCCTGAACCAAAGATAGGGTCTGGATCCAATTCAGTTCTATGGAAAAATTCAGGAAATTCCCTGGGATGTCAAGCATGTTGTCAAAATTAAAAGGAACAGAGTATCCCTCTTTTCTGGGCTCTGAAAACTAGCATGCCTCTCACTTTGGATTTTGTAAAATCTACCCAAATTTGTTCAGGTATGATTTACCTACCTTGAGGATTTTGTCTTGGAAATGCACATTCTTCTAACTAAATAATGTTTTGGGAGCTCTGATGCTCTGAATCAGGAAAAATAAAGCAGAGGCATAGGAAAAATGATCTCTGGTGGACAGTATATTCTTCCCTATATGATCCTTTATCAACTATTTTCTATTAGTGTTGAATTCTCTGTATCATAGGCAGATCTTTAAGACCTATTAAGACCCTTGCAGGAGGCAGGAGGTGTCTTTTCCTGTTTATAGCATTTTCTGAAACAGTTAACAGATTTCAGCAGTAATTTTGAAGAGAGAAACCATACAAGAAATCCAGGGGTACAAATTGAAAAGAACTTGGAGGTTATTTGCTCTAAGTCTATAGTTTTAGAGACAAAAATAAAAACAAAACAAACCCCCCTCCAAACCAAGAAACCCCTCCCAACACTCTCCCC